TCACAGTATCTTGCACTTAGAATTGTTCGAAGCATTATCCAATTCCATTCGACAGAGCTATCAGTAACTATAAAGCCATCGAAGAGCAAGTCGGAACTCTGAAATATTCCTTGTATTCCTCAGCTTCCGCAAAGTGGAAGCAAAGTGTCCTCACAACTCTCTCGAATACAAAACTATTAACGATACTTACAAGTTCAAGCGGTTCAAACAGTTCAGAGCGGTAATGTATGACGATTTTTCATTCACGATTACTGATGCCACCGAAAGAGAGGAGATTAACTTTGATATTTTCGTCTGTCTACAGAAAAGCTAGCATAGAATGATCACTGTCACGAATGCTTGCGGATATGTACACGAGGATTATAATTTGGATACCCTGTAAATGTCTGGCTGGGAGCAAACTAGTTTTTAATCGTCGACCTCGCGCAGAGTTTAGCTGATGTATCGTTTTGGAGATCCTTTGCTCGTCGAGCCGAGAAGCACAGCCGTTGCAAATCGTGCTGCAAGCATAGAAAAAAGAAAGAAAAGAGAAAAAGGAAAGACAAACGTGTTATTCCCCTTGATTCGTGATCTTTGTTACAAAATAGTAAAGCAAAAAAAAAACAATATATATATATATATATATATCGTCTGATATTAGCAGTAGCCTCGAATAACTGTCTACATTTTACCAACCACTGTGTTTATTCAGTTTAAGATAATGTAATATATAGCATGAGATTTTACATCGAATATAAAAAGAAAGGACATGTTGTACAGATTTGTGCATGGATTTAAAGAGGCCATAGTGCTTAAGTGTTACACGCAACAGACACGTACACATGTACACACATACACACACGCGCGCGCGTACGGAGATAAAGTGTAAATTGAATCGTCATCTTTTTTTTTTTTTACCCGAGATCGATAAAGTAGACATGTGTATTTAAAGAATTCTCTAAAAAGTAAGGCTTGACGTCGGTGCAGATTAGTGCGGATTAGTGCAGATTTTTGTTTTTAATGGAAAGGATTGAGATAGTAAATTACAGTAATAATAGTAACGGATGTATTCGGCTGAAGGAAATTAGCGGTAATGTGCGCTGGACGCAAGTTTTACTGTAACAAATGAAAGAAAAACAAAACAAACCTGTGAAAATCTATTGTACATGATTGATTGATTGTGCGTTTGTGCGTAGGAGGGAATGATTCAGCAAGTACCCTGCAAGGTATTCGTGGGACGCTGTACAGAAGACCTAACTGCCGATGATCTGCGCGACTATTTCTCCAAATATGGCGAAGTGACGGACGTGTTCATCCCAAAACCTTTCCGTGCATTTTCGTTTGTTACTTTCTTAGATCCCGAGGTAGCCCAGTCACTCTGCGGCGAGGATCACATAATTAAAGGAGTCTCGGTACACGTGTCGAACGCCGCCCCAAAATCCGAGGGTAACAATAAGAATTTCAATAACCAAGTGAACTCGAACATGCGCAGAGGCGCACCGGGGCCGGTGGAGAATAGCGTTCAGGGAAACTATCAGGGGAACCGTTACATGAGCCATTCTGGCAGCAATATGGGCCCGAACGGCTGGAACAATCCGGGGAACCGCGGCAGCCTGGACATGCCGAACCTCCAAGCGTTGGGTATCACCGGCCAGAATAACGGAGGCGGCGGTGGCATATCCAACCCGTTGACGATGGGGAATATCAATCTGTCCGCGTTGCCGGTCAATCACGCCCTGGTCGCCGCCCTGAACCAAGCATCTTGGGGCCTGATCGGTAACTTGCAGAATCAGGGAAACGATCAGGGCTATTCGAACCAGCCTGGTCCACCTGGACAGCCGCCTTCTGGCAACAATAGTATCGGTAACAGTGGCAATTCTGGCTTTCTCAGTTGGATGAGTCAAGGAGGAGGTGATGGTAATACAGGCAATCCCGGAACAGGTGGTCCAGGCCCGAATAACCCGAACGCGTCCCAAGGTGCTTGGCAGAACCATCCAGGACAACGCGATCAGAAGTCGAGCAACTTTCTCAAGTACGAGTAAACGCGAGATGGAGGCCCCTGTAACCGTGGAAACCGGCGATTCCGTTCCTTTGATCACCGGCGCACGTTGACCAGCTGCCCGACGGTCTAGCCGACTCTGCCTAGGTACGATGTAAACAATCTGTAAAACGGGAATGTCCAATTAACAGAAACCGGTACCATAGTACCGTATTATCTTTGTGTTTACCAACCCTGACTCACTTTTGCCGGATTTCGAGCAATTTCGATTGGGAGAAACCACCAGGGTGAACGTTAACGGTTTTCAGTGATTCTCTTTAAAGAAAAACATATTTTGAACTATATTATTCTGATTCTCTAGTTTCAGGTTGATTAATTAAAGATGAAAAGTTGCTGTGTGGGAATGACGAGAACAATTATGATGATATACAGTCACCGTAAGAAGTATTCGTACAGCAACCAATTTAAAATAAATGCTTCCTGTACGAATACTTAGTACACTATAATAAGTAATCGTACAGTAT